GGTGATAAACCCCAGGGGGATCAGGGCTGTGTCCCACCCCCCCCGGGCACCCCTTGGCACCCCAGCACCCGGGGCACTCACCCGCAGAGCCTCCAGCTCCCGCCGCGCCTGGCTCAGCTGCTTCTCCAGCTCCGCTATCTTGGCCATGGAGTCGTTCTCCTCATCCTGCAGCTTCTGGGTCAGCTGGGGGGACGAGGAGACGTCGCTCAGCCCCATCCCTGCTCCCTCCCTCGGGGCTCACGTCAGCAGCTCCTGCCCACGCGCCCACGTCCCACCTGGCTGACGTGCTCCTGCAGCTCCTCCATGTGCTCCAGCACGGCCGTCTTGGTCTCCGAGTCCTCCAGCATGGCCCCCACGTCGAAGACGTTGTCCAGGTAGGCCTGGATCTGCACCTGCAGCTTGTCGCTCTCGGTCAGGCGGAGGCTCTGCCAGGGGACAGTTGGTGGCACCGTCACGGCTGGTGGCACCTCCTGCCCGGCCCCCGCCCAGCCCTGGGGACCCGCGGGACCACCCACCTCCAGGTACTGGTCCAGCCCCAGGTGGGTGAACTCGTACTGCAGGAAGACTCGGAAGTTCATGTTCTCCACCGAGTGCACCACGATGTTGATGAACTGCATGCAGGCCACCTGGGGGAGGCCACCAGCTCAGCCAGGCCACCACCACACACCGTGGCCCAGTAGTCCTTGGGGATAAGGTGACCCCAGGGACTGCACAGTGAGTCGGTGCCCCCTGGGGACGTGGTGACCCTGGGGAATGTGTGGTGGTGTCACAGCCCTGGGGACACGGGGAGCTGGGGAAGGACCAGTGGCTCAACAGCCCTTGGGGGTGTGGTGATTTGGACACATCCTGGTGGCTCAGCACCCCTTGGGGACACAGGGTTTGGGGACAGCCTGGTGGCTCAGCACCCCTTGGGGACACAGGGTTTGGGGACAGCCCGGTGGCTCAGCACCCCTTGGGGACACAGGGTTTGGGGACAGCCTGGTGGCTTGGCACCCCTTGGGGACACACAGTGCCCTGGGGACAGCACAGTGGCTTGGCACCCCTTGGGACACAGCACCCTGGGATGTCCCAGCAGCTCCCGGGGACACGATGCCCTGGGGACAGGGCAGCTCACCATGAAGTCGATGTTGGTGTCGTCGTTGCGGAAATAATCCATCAGCTTCTCGAAGCGGTTCTTCTCCCCACAGACCTGGGGTGGGAACAGGGGCCTGAGGGACATGGCCAGGGTGGCACCCAGGGGGGTGGTGGGGCTGGAGGCACCCATGGGTGACACCCTCCCAGCCCTGCAGGTGCTGCCTGGCACCTGGTCCAGGATCCAGCCCTGGGGAGCTGTGCTGCCATGGGGACATTGAGCCCAGTGGCTGGAGAATCCCATGGGATGGACATTGTCAGGATGGGAGATGCCCTGATGATGCAGGGGGAAACTGAGGCAAGAACCCAGATGGGTGTCAGCGTGGGGACCTTGTGTCCCTGCTGGGGACTCACCTCCTTGAAGTTGTCAAAGGCTGCCAGGATGATGTCGTGGCCACCTCGGACCAGGCAGACGGCGGCCAACAGCTCCAGCACCAGCGCCTTGGTCCTGTGGAGACACGGGGTGTGAGGGGGTCAGGGCCACAGGGCGGGTGAGGGGACACGGGGACAGGCGACAGGGACGGGTCCTACCTGGCGTTCCTGTTGTTGAGGCTCAGGGTGATCTCGTTGACACAGGCTGGGTGGTTCATCACCAGGCTGAAGCCAGACTTGGGGGGGAAAAGGAGCATTAACAGGGGCACATGTCCTTCTGTCCCCACCCCAGGGATGCTGCAGGACCTGGGGACATCCCCATGACACGTCCCCACCAGCCATGAGGTTGGGTGAGGACCTCTCAGAGCAAGGAGATGGAGAACCAGTCCCACCTCAAACCCCTGACCCCATCTGAGAACAGGTCCCACCCCAAACCCTGACCCCCGGGATGGTTTCATGGGGGGGGTGACATTTGGGGCACCCCAGGTGGGTGGGACACTGCCCCCCAGTCCCCACCTGGTAGTTCATGATGGCCCGGAGACACATGATGCAGAGGTGGACGTCGTCCTTCTGGCTGACCAGGCGGGAGCTCCTCAGCGCCTTCCTGCTGTGCGAGGGGTTCAGCCTGGGGGGCAGAGGGGCTGAGCAGGGGCTGGGGGGGCGGGGGGGGGACAGCCACAGCCGGGACGGGG